CCCCAAAACCCCAAAACCCCAAAACCCCAAAACCCCTTTAATGTACTATTTAGTTGAATTCTACATATGAATTAATCTGCTATTTTAGTCTGGTGGTTCAAACTATCTAGAGACTTTCTTCAGGACTTTGTTCATTACTATAGTCTAAAGAGTGAGAATCCCTGTCCGAATTCAGAGGCGATCATTTATCCCTCTGAGATTTCCTATTTGCCTCTGAGAAATTGATTGACTCTACAGATTGGTTTGGCTTTTGAGGCTTCCCCTGATAGTCTTCACCGTGAAGGCTGGCGTTACTATTTTTGGAAGAGCAATGTTCATCTTTAGTATGACTAGTTTTAGTCTTTGTTACCATATCAGAATTAGCAACTGAAGAGTTCCCTGATTGACCTTGGGAGCTCTCTATAGATTTTGGCTCAATCTTAAACTCTTCCATAAACTCATCTTCCGATCTTTTCCTAGTCGGAGACTTTTTCTTTCTCGATGCTCTTTCTTTATTATATCGGCTTCTCTTACTTGTAGATTCATTTGGAAAACTAGCTAGGCTTTCTCTTTGGCTGCTTTTACTCTCATCTTCATTTGTTCTGCATTTCTTGACGATGCTGATGGTTACATCTTTGATGCTCATGGCAATGCAGAACAAAGCGATGAGTAAGCCATTGACCATAATCGAGTACAGGACAATGTTAGAGATAGAAGAATTCCAGTGATCTTCTTCATATAATATTGTTATCACAATACAGAACACCATGAAGAAACTATCATTCAGAATTTCCAGGAAATTATCCCTTGGCTCTTCGAAAGGCCTGATGATTGTGGAGTAAGCAAGCCCTGCTAGCTGCACGATATCAAAAGTAAGCAATCTTACTAGTATTGGTAGATCGCTTAGGAGGACAACTATGAGTGCATTGAGGATCCTCCTGCTTCAGAATATAAAATTGTATAGTTGGCAAAGAGGTCTGGGTTTAAAGCCATCATAAAGCTCTGTAAGCTTCCCATCTTCAGCCAAGTTTTGTATGTTTCTGTATCTGAAATAATGCCAAAGCAAGAACCCAGGGATGAGGAATATTGTCAATGAGATAATTATGGCTGCTGCATATGACAGACCATCTTGAACATCTCCAATATTCTCATAAACTTCTGATAGAGCAGTAAGGAAGACGAAGAAGAAAGCTTCAATGATAATTCTCACATAAGCTGTGAAGAAGTAGAAACTTTCAAATTTTTCAATCACTGATTTGATTATTGCTTTCTGTAAGTATTTCTTGAAGATCAGAAATACCAACAGCAGGGATACATCTGTCAAGACAAGAAGAGCCAGAGCTTTTCCAAGATTGTACTGATTAACTATGACACTTCCTGACTCATACCCGACAGTGTTGAGACCCTCAACGGTTTGGTCATAGTCAAATCTGTCGATAACATCTTCAAATTTCCAAAGTGTCCATCCTTCGAGGAAATTGAAATTTAGAGTGAAGAATTCGAATTCTTCTAAGAAGACAAGAACATCCTCAGGAAGTCCGGTCTCAAGAGTGGGTGTTGTAAGAAGGAGCTGGTATTGGTTAATCATCACCCATGCAGATGAACCTGATTCTCCAGATAAAATACTACCAATTAACACTGCCGAGACACTGACTGTTGCAGTAATATCTATAGATACAGTTTTGCCCAGTGCTCTGGCGGTAAACAGCTCGATTGAGTCATCTTCATCCAGTCACTCTCCATTGTCTAGAGTAAAATCTTCTTGGCAGATTTGGCATACGGAACCTGAGGTTTCTAAGCATGTTTGGCAATTCTGCACAGTTCAAGGTTCTACAAGAACCTGTGCATATTGTGTGAAATAGTTGAATTCTGAGGATACTCTGATAGTTACTTTGTATCTTTGTACAGTATTATTGTCTGGGGCTTGGACAATCAATTTCCTGTCCTCGATTGAAACTTGTATTTCGTCCGAAGGCTCTATTTGGACATCATAAGTCCAGTATTGCCCTTCAGCACAACAGGGAAGTCCGAAATCTTGAGTTACCCTTGCTGAGTTTACAACAGAAATATTGGAGAATAGTTCACCAGTCCAAACGAAAGTTGAATTGGAGGATTCAGAGGGGTCTGTTAGTTCATCATAAGAATAGGATACAGGATTTGGAAGTTCAGTTCCTTCGGTCGCGTTCGTCAATCTTGTCCACACCAGCTGCACTTCAGATACAGTATACCTAGATTCATCATGAAGGACAATTCCATCCCGACTGCCTGATTCAAAACTGACCTTATCCTCAAGCAGTGAAAAGCTAGAAGGCACCGTTTTGTACAGAAAACCAAGCCCATCGTCATCACGACCTCCAAAGTACACAAATCCGTCTTTCTGATTCATTATATTGATAAATTTCCTCTCAAAATTAGTCTGCCACCTTTCTATCACCTCTTTAGTATCTGAATTGAACATAACTAGTATAGGATCTAATGAAGGAGTTGATAATGCTGGGCTAAAATTTTAGAAAATAGACTTACTTAGAGCCAATCAAAGAGTAAATAAGATTAGCTTCTGGGAATTCTACTAGTGAGATCATGTAGCTGTGTGCTGTGGTGAAGATGTATTGGTGAATTGAGGAGTACTTCATGTTTGGGCTGAATTCGATGAGTAGTAAGATCTCAGATTCCACACGAACTGAGGTCAGGATTTCTCCAGAAGATCTTCTTATAGCTCGAGAATGGGAACTGTGAGAACAGTCTTCCGATCCGCAAGCTAGCTGTTGTATTGTGTTAGACCCTATAGAGTCTCATGATTTAGAACTAACCTGTGCTATCAATAAGTTGAAATCCTACACGCCCTCCATTTGTAGCATCGACAAGGTTCCTTCTTCGGTCCTGAGCTACTGAATGAATAATCATCAGAACTTGGGAGTTTAAACCTTCCATTTGATGAACAGAAACGAAATTGTAAGTTCTATATGATTAGCTGAGTTTGATTTACTCTAGCCCGATTTGATTAACTATCGATAGATCTGATCTATCCATCACCAATATTCCTCTTTGAAATCGAGGCAAAATTCTGGTTGCGATTAAAACATGCTTTTCAGTAACAGCTAAATTGGTGAATTAGAATTGTATCTTTTTAAATAGGATGTAATCTCAGAACCCAAAAACTCACCAATACTATTGGTTAAGTTGATATTCCTAATCTCTCGGATTATGACAGCATCGCCTGTTGTTGAATTGAAATTGGCAACATAATTGTATTGGTTATTGAAGTTGACGATATACATCATTGTCTGATTCATATCCATTGTGGATGCTATTTATTGGTGAACCCATAAAACACTTACCTCTGAGATCAATGTCAAAGTTATATGACTTTTCATAAACAGGAGTAAGATCCAGGTTTCTTTTTGATATCTATGCTTTATGGTGAATCGTTACCTGGATACCTCTCTCATTTCCGCCCGGTGTTCGATGATATGATAAGGTGAATAATTTCTAGAGTATAAGAAAGATATATTTACATTTTCCGTTTTACTCAACCATATATTGTATACATGTGTGAATAAACCTTGACTTGCATTGAATGCTCTAACATAAGGTCTGTATGCAGATCCTTCAACACCAGTTCAAATATTTGTATCTGGATCGATTGTGGGTTCTAGAAGTCTATGCAAGAATAAAGTGAGAAATTCACCAACAAAATTTATCCGACAAACTTATTCAGCAATTCAGATAAACCATAATGTCGAAGGATAATTTTGAATGGTCAGATCTACAGGTAAATAGAGCAAAATGAAAATCAGAAATTATTTATTATTTCTAAAAATCTCCTCTTCAAGGTATAACTGTGTAATAGTCCAAGATGATGATATTGACATCGTATCCTCTTTCGGAAATTGGACTTACCTGAAGGCTTGAGTCGTTTGTCAAAGACATAGGACCAAAATACAATTTAGTAACAAAGCTATAATTTTCACCATTTTGAGGGATATCTTAAAAATTATATTAACTTAATCTTTCACTCGGGTTCTTAACCTCAGGGGTTTTGGGGTTTTGGGGTTTTGGGGTTTTGGGG